CTTATAATGCTGGGCTGCTAAGGGCAGAGGTTCTTAATCTGGGGTCCCTCAACTTTTTTTTTTTGTAATTGCTACTTGTATTTCAAAATAATTTGTTTCTGTAGTAATCTTGTATATTTTATTTTATTCATTTAAAATCATTATTCTGAAAAGGAATTCGCTGGCTTCACCAGACTGCCAAGGAATCAATGACACAAAACAGCTTAAGAACTCCTTATCTAGTAGTAGGTAGTTAATCAACAAAATTTTGTTAAGTACCCACTATGTGCTAAGCACTAAGAACTGGGGATACAAAGAAAAGCAAAAGACAGTCTCTACCCTCAAGGAGGTCAAAATTTAATGGAGACAGACAACACATAAAAGGAAGATGAAAAGTGGGGTATCATGAAGTCCAGGAGTACAGCTAGGTGGGAAATGATGAGATATCTGCCCTGAGTGCCTCCTTTTAAAGTAAAAGATCTCAGAAGACTTCTGCATTTTCCATCATCCACCCTTTCCAATCAGAGGAAGAGAGAGGCCCCAGAGTTTCAGGATTCATGTGGTCTTGCAAAATGATTTTGCAAGATTCTAAAGTACATGATGAAGTCTAGGAGTGCTGCTTTGTTGGAGATAAGGGTAGGAGGTTCTTTGTCAAGGTTTGTTGAACATACTTATTGCATTCTCACCTGGATAGGTAAGAAGGATAAGACATGATTATCCCTTCTTTAATCAGCTTAAAATGGAAGGAGATTTAGAAAGGTCACAGGATTGCTACACATATATAACAAGAAAATGCTAAAATAAGTGGCACTAATTATATAATAGAAGTTTTTGAAAAAGGAAATACCAATGTAGGCAGGAAAGAGGAAAGCTTCTTAGAGGGGGTGCATGATTTGATCCTTGAAAGATAGGTATGAATAGCTGATTGATATGATTGAATTAAAACATAGACTTGTAGATTAGAATACTATTTGTTGAGGAAAGCAAAAAAACCTGCCTGACTACAGTGGAAGATGCATTAACAGGAGTGATGGGAAAACTACAAAGAGGCATTTGAAGTTGAAGAGGTAGAAAATGGCAAAATATTTTTTATGTTCCCAAGCAGCTTCACAAGATGTTAGTAAAAGTAACAGCATATGTCAATGCATACTGGCCTCTCATAGAGTCATTTAGAGAAAGGCTAGCAATGGCAGTTGAATTTCTCCTAAGCCATCTTGTCACTAGTAAGTTTAACTCAGATGCGACATTTCACCTCTTTTATATATGCATTCCTACCTGTAAAACATTTAGAAAAGCTACATATGGTTAGGTTGATCAGCTATAGAGACAGCAGCCAAGTACCTCCCCCTTCACTGTATACACAGAACAGACTAAGAAAAAGGTTTAAAAATAAAACAATCACCAAAAACTTCCCCCATCAGCAAAAAATAATCTAAATTTTATGGGGATCTCTCCTTAGAAAATTAAGTGCCTACTGTGTATGCTAGGTACTGAGAATACAAAAAGGAATTATGATTTAGCTGTTTAGATATATGAATTGTTTTAATGCAGTGCCAAATAAATGATACAGATATTAAGTACTACAGGAGAGCAGAAGAGGAATCCATAGTGATGGGTTTGGGCAACAGATGTGGAGTCAGAAAAGATTTAAAGAAACTTGAGCCAAACCTGGAAGAAAAAAAACATGACTTAGACAATAGAAAGAAGGAGGAAGACATTATAGAATGAGGAAAACCACATGAGCAAAGGTGAAGATGTGCATTGCATAAATATGAGTGCAGTGAATAGTTGGGATAGAGCAAAAGGGTAGAAGAGAAGTTGAAACTTAAGAAGATGGTAAGGTTCATAAGAAAGAGATCCTTGAATGCCAAGATAATGGAGTTTTTTTTCTATAAGTGATGGAAAATCACTAAAAATGGTAAAATAAGGTTTAAGCCTGGAATAAATCTTAGAGATAAGCTAGTTCAACCTCTTGATTCTATCAGTGAGCAAATTTATATCCAGGAGGTCCACATATTGAAAAAGTAGCAGAAATAAGATTTGAAATCACATCCTTTTACCTGATTCAGTACTTTTTCCACCCAAATTATTCAAAAGATGGGAAGCTATTAAAAGTTCTTACATACAAATTTTATTGTCCTCATTTTATAGCCCAAAACTGGATCAAAGAGAATAAAGTGACTTGTCAAACAAAGGTCACACAGCTAATAGGTATCAGAATCAGTAGAACAGACTACATAAGAAAGAATCCTAAATCCTTAATTCAGTGAACAACATTTCAGCAAATCTCAGAATATAAATTACTTGAAGAACTCCATTTTTGATAAATGCTGTTAAGACCAGAAAGAAGTCTGAGAGAAATTAGGGTTAGATCAACATCTTATAGAACATACCACAATAAGATATAAATAGATATTCACCCTGAATATTAAACATTACAGATTTTTTAAAAATAGAAGAGAATGGAAAGAGTTGCCTTTCACAGCTATAGCAAGAGAAGACATTCTTAATCAAATAAGGGATAGAGGTGATCACAAAAGTGAAAACAGCAATTTATATTTTATGAAATTGAAAACTCCTTGCATGAACAGTCAGTGCCATCTTTTTTTTTTTTTGATCAGCACCAAACAATTTTGTTCATTCCTGTTTTAGAGTACTATTTGAGGTCTGAAAGGCCATTTCATTTCTATTTTTTTCTCATTATTTCTCTTGAGATGATAGACCTTATGCTCTACCAAGTAATTTTGTTCTTTATCTAGCTCTATAAAGCATTTCTTTGGTTATTTGTAGTAGCATTAAATCTGCAAATTAATTACTGGAATATGGTAATTTCATTATATTGTAGCAGCCCAACCATGAGCAATGAAGAACCCTGCAAATATTTTTCATTATTTCTTTCAAGTGTTTCATAATTATATTAATATAAGTCATGACTACAACTTGGTAGATTAATTCTTAGTTATTTTATATATTTTGTAGTTATTTTAAATGGACCTTGCCTTTCTTTTCCCTCATGGATTTTGTTATTCTCTCTCTCTATGTTATAGAAATGATCCTTATTTTTGTAGATATTTTTTGTATCTGACTCTATTACTGAAACTATTAATTCTTATTTAGTTTCTGTTCTAATTCTCTAGGTTTCTTTGCTGATTCTTCTTGTCATCAGAAAATAAGGATTATTTTGGCTTCACTTTGCCTTTTTTATAGCTTTATATATTTTTTTGCCTTATTGCTATTATTGTCATTTCTGGAAGTCTATCAAATAACTGGAGAAAGGTGGAATCCCTTTTTCTTATATTTGTTCCTATAGTTACTGGAAAAAAGCTTCTGGTGTCAGCCCATTGCAAATAATGCTAACTTTTGTTTTAGGTTTATACTTTTAAAGATATGAAATAGCCCTTCTCTACATTTTTTTCCAAGACCAGGGAACATGCAAGATCATCTTTAGGTATAGAGAGGAAGTAGCCAGGAGAAAGAGAGAGAAGAGAGAAGAGAGAGAGAAAGAGAGAGAGAGAGAGAGAGAGAGAGAGAGAGATACAGGCAGAGACAGAGATAGAGATAAAATGACAGGAAAATAACCAGAGATAGAAATAAATAGACAGAAACAGAGAAAAAAAGAGAGAGAGAAACAGAAATAGACAGAAGTAGACAGAAGAGGGGATAGACAGGGGAAGGAAGAGAGGAGGAGAAGGAAGAAGAGGAAAAGAGATTGAAGATTTCACAGGTATCATTTGATAGAACAAAGAACTAATTAGGGATGCAAATGGTGGGTTTAGGATTACTTCTTTGAGAGACAAATGAAGGAGTAGATGGGTAAGAGTATAATAAAATCATGATATCAAGATGAAAATGTAATTACTGAGTTGCTGAGTAGCTTCAAAACGATGAAGAGGAAAAATAAAGTTCTCGTTGGATGATCTTAAAGCAGCACACAAATTTAATACTAATATAGTATTTCATGGTTTACAAACATTTTCCTCACCATAACCCTGTAGGAGAGACCTAGAGGACACAGAGGGTAAGGAGGTAGCCATACATCCCTTACATTCCCAGATCAGTTAGCATTCATTCCACCAAGGGAACAAAACGTCCCCTTACCTAACACCAGCGTGGTACTTAACAGAGCTGCTTCTCCTCCAACTGGCTGCTCCGGGGATAAAGGTGTCTCTGCACTATCTCCATTGTTTTTGGCTGGAGCTCCCAAGAAACTGGGGGAAAATAAGAAGCAGCTCACCCTGATATGGATGAATTCTACATTAGTAGATATCTTCAAGCAGAGACTGTGGATAGAGGAGATTCTTGATCAACTATGGGATGGAATAGATGATCTCTGTGGTGCCTTTCAACTCTAAAACCCAGTAATTTAACTAAAACATTCCCATTTTCCCCAGGGAAAAAGTTGAACCATTACAAACATGACCCAGAAGCAATACTGCTGCCTAAAAGCTGTTCTGTTTTCTAATTCTAGCCTTCTCAATGTGAACTTGGCACACACTTGCTGCTAGAGACTTCATCTCTTTTCCTATTATAAAACACTTCCTTAAGCATGCTACTTTCTATCTTAGCTCCCTTTTCTCTGTTTTCCTTAATACTGAAATATTTTCCCTTCAATACGGAAACTAAACTGTAAGACAAATTAACATCTAAGTTTCAAGTAGAAGGTAAACTCCTTGAGGCCAGGGACCAACCATTTCTTCATCTTTGTGTCTTCAACACCTTGCATATAACAGGCATCTGTTCAATTTAATAGAATTGTTGTAGAAAATGAGTTAAACATGTTGATATATACATACATTAAACATAAACATATTAAAGGAATATCATATTACATGTAATGTAAATTACATTAGTAATATATTAAATATATCCATTGCAATTTATGTTGGGCTAACATAGTAATGATTATGTCAGTAATGTTGACATCCCCAGTTTTCTGAACTGTAGGATTATTAAAAGCTTTTTTTACTGCCCTTCTCAGTATTTTACCTTTGGATTACTTTCATTTCATTATTTGTCCACAGATTATTCACGCTGTAAGGCAAGAACCAATGAGAGACCAACCAAGCAAGTTCCAACAATGCCTGCAACAATTCCCGGGGCCTCTCCTTTGGAGAAAATTGGACCCAAGAGAACAATGCCTTTCTTTATGAGAATGACTGCAACACAACCAAAATTATTCACAAGAAATTTCATTTTATCATTTAATCTATTCCAATTCTGGTACTTCTGCTGGATGCAGGGATAAATTTCTGAGCAAATAGCATCTGATAATGACTAGCTTTTTATGAACTACAGAGCCAAATGAAAAAACAAAAAGAAAGTGACCATATTTTCTCTTATGTAGAGCCATGTTTATTTTGTCCTATTTTGTATTTCTCTGATCTCAAATTTTGGATGTATATAACACTCCATACAAAGGAATATTTCCATGTTTAGGTAACTAATGAATTCTGTAGATGGATGTGTGTGTGTGTGTGTGTGTGCATGTGTGCCAACCTTAGAAATATGAAATATCTTGAGACCCAGGTATGGCCAAGTATAGGCTGTGATATGAAGTTTGAAGAATAAATTTCAAAGTTGTCACATCAGATATCAAATTCCATAGTCCATAATTAGTATCTTCTATTTCTATAAGCAGCCAAAGGAATGTTTGTGAAAGGGCATAAGGGGTATTTTTAAAACACATTGAGAAATGAGCTCAAAGTGTCTTGATTTATTCAAAAAGACGGACAGTGGGGCAATAATTAAAGGAAAATGAGTAACTTTTACTGTTCATCTTTAGATTTTAAAAAATCATATATTCAAATCCTTCAAACATTAATTGACCTACCCAACCTTCCAAGTTATCTCAAAATTATTGTGTTTCCTATCAAAAAAGTTCAAGTTGCACTGTCAGCATGTAGTCTATTTATATTCTATTTATATATATAACGAATCTTAAAAGCCATTGGGTTCAACCATTTCAGTTTACAGGAAATTGAGGCAGAGTGATATTAAGTAACTTGCCCAGGATCATATAGCTAGTAAATATCAGAAATGCTATTTTCCTGATTCCAAATCCGGTATCCATTCCACTTAGTACAGATGGTTTCTTCTGATAAAGTATAACTTTCCATTGAAGTGGGAATGCAATGTTGGTTGACCTCAATTATCTTTCTGTCCACCAATTTTAGGGTCCAGAAACCAAATCTTTTTTCTCCCTTTGTTTTAATTAATAGAATGGTTTGCAATATCACAAGATTTCAGATGTGATGGAACATGAAGTTTAGGGCTTTTATTTTTGTGATGACTATAATTAAAAAAAAGACTGTAGTACCATTTGACTTAGATTTTAATAAAATCTAGAAAGCATACAGCATCTTGACTATTAAAGAGGAAAAGTAGTTATGTGTCTTATACTTTTTAGCTTTAGAAGTATGTCAAGGGGCAGCTAGGTGGTGAAGCAGATAGAGCTCTAGCCTTGGAGTCAGGAGGACCTGACTTCAAATGTGACCTCAGACACTTGACACTTACTAGCCCGTGTGACCTTAGGCAAATCACTTAACCCCAAACTGACTCACCAAAAAAAAGAAGAAGAAGAAATATGTCAAGAATTTTAAAATAAAATACCCTGTTAGTTCTACTGACTTAACAAAAATTGATACACAATTTACTTTTTCAGTATTGGTATTTATATCCTAGACAAAGATATGACAATGGCTAACAATCCATCAGTAAGGCACAATGTACACAGTTCATTTCTCCATAGTGGTCATGGATTTGTATTACTCAGTCTTTATCCTTCCACCTTATCACCTTGTATCTCTGCTGTGACTACCAAGCCCTGTGAATAGGATTAAGTATGATATTGGTGGTCATGAAATAGAATAAATATCATTGGCCCATTTAGGGTTTACATAGTTATTCTTGGCTTCGTTATCAACCTATTTGTATCATATTCTAACCAAATGAGCTCACTGACTTAAGAGTGACCTAACAGACTTACCCATCATCCAAAGAATGTATATAATAGTTGATCAAGAGTTGGGATGCTCTGAAGTCATTGACTTAAGTTATGCTACCTACTCAACTTACAGATGAGGAAACTGAGGCCCAGAGAGCCTAAATGATTTGTCAAAATTTAGACAGGCGGAAGGTATCGCAGGGGTGTGATTTGAAGTGAAATTCTTTAACTCGAGAGCCAGTGTTTGTGCCACTTTGCCACACTGCTGCATGTAACAAAATGAACTAGAAACCATTTTGAGTATTCCAACATTATATAAATTAAAAGAGGTCATTGTTACTATCATTTGATATAGACAAATCGTCAGTGTCGAGTGGACATCCCTCAAAAAAACACCAGAGTTCCTGAATAGTACTCTCCAATACGCAAGCCAAAGATACTATAAAGTCTTTGTAGTTTCAGTCATGTTTCGCTCCATCACCATTAAATTTTATGAAAAGCATCCTCGACCATAAAATTCGGTATGCTATTCATATGGCTGGCAAACTAGTCTCTCATACAGGAAACAGTAAGGAAAAGTTGACATTTTTACCAAAATAAAAGATTAAAGAGCTTGTAGTTCAGTACCCTATATAGTGTTTGTTTTCCAACAAATTTGTTGATTGGTTACTGTGTCTAGATATAGTGCAATAGTTGCTTCTCTATGCCTAATTTTATTCATGTTTTAGTATGGTTGGGCACTGAATTCCCTGGATATTTCTTGCAGCTTTAGTACTATATTCATTGATATGTACTACAAATGTGATACTAGTAATGGCTGATATTCAAAATACAGGAAAGTATCTTTTTCTTGAGTTATTTAATCTGTATAACAAAACAAATTAAAATTTAACTTCATTTGGATGTTTCATATTTAATTTTTAAGTCACAACATATTTGGACCTCAGTTTGTTTATCTATAAAATGAAGGGACTAGCCTAGTTGCCCTATAAGATCTTACTCTAAATCTATGATCTTATGAACCTCATGTGGCCAGAGACAGAAATTCCTCAGAGAATAAACGGTAAAATCAAAACAATGCCATCCAAACAAGATTGTTGCTTTGACAACACAAAGCAGGGAATCCAAATGAAGGGCTCAATCTATTTTTTAAGAGTTGTAACACTAAAATACGAGTTAGAAAAGAAAATACTTTTATGATTAAAATGATTTAAAAAATGGATTGGTCATTCATAAACTGCTTTTAAATGTTATAGAACTTTTTAGACATATTCTCTTTTACAGTAAAATTGCCTGCGCTACCAATTTATCCACAACAGAAATTTAGAATGTAAGATGTGGAAAGTACCATAGAAATAACCCAGCCCAATTTTCCTATTTTATAAATGAGAAAATTGAGATCTAAAGAGCTTTGCATTTAAATACAAACATACATGTATATTTATATGTATATGCATGTGTTCATATCGAATAGGTAATGGTCAGGTTCTATATGGTATATATGTACATATATACATATTTTTATATAGACATATATACATACATACATCCACATATATTTATATAAACTTTACATGTCCCATAGCACCTAACACACTGTGCTGCATCCATTAGATGCTTCATTGTGGTGGAACTGAAGTGAAATCACATGAAGTAAAAAAAAAAGCCAACCATTTTTTCTTCTGCATCTTCCTACTTGCTTCTCCTGAACTTTGAAGCTTCTTAAACTGACAGTTTGTTTTTTATGTTATTTCACTTTCATTTTCATCCAGAAAAATGAAGCTACTTCTCCATGAAATAGACAAGACTAGGATATTGAATATTTTCTCAAAACATTTAAAATTTAGCTAGTGCCCATATGGCCCAAACTAATTTTCTTATGATGTGCATTGAATTTTTTTTTCCTGGAATGGATTTTCATAATAGACTATAGCAGATGTCTAGGATCCATAATAATAAATCAGGCAAACAAACTGATTAAAATATTCAATGGACTATTTTTCTTATAAATGTTACAAACCCTATGAATAATTTGAAAGCTCACTGTAGTTTACATCTGCATCTTGTTTTCCTTTTCAAATGGAACCTTACTGTGCAACACTGTTTACTAGGATAGGGATAGATAGGTAGGGACCAGTGATTGTATTGATATGGGGAACTTCTATGTGAGGATCTCCCTTTAGTGGTGCAGGTCAGTACTTTCTTTGAGGCAGACTTGTAGGCTGACTATTCTTCCAGATTCATTTCCCTGTTTTCTTATGGAGAATGAATTGCATTGAGACCTCAAACATACTTTAGAATTTCAAGGGATTAAAATTTACTTAGCAATAATCCTTTTTTAATTTTATCATTTGTTTTCCCCTAGATATATTTTCAGCTCTGTCATAAATAATAACTACTTCTCAGATATTAAAAGAAGTAATGAGTTAAGTGGCAGGTTATAGTAATTATTAGATTAATAACTGAAATCTTACATTATTATGGTAGATCCTTCTCAGATGAAAATGAGAATGAATTTGAAATTAGTCTTCATGGTTCATTTATTAGAGTTGGAAGGGATTTTATATGTCATCTAATTCTACCCTTTCTTGGAGCATGAATCCCACCCTCAATATCTCTGAAAAGTGATTGAACAGACTCAAAGATTTCCAATGACAAGGAACTCATGACTTTTCATTTTTGGACAGCTCTAAGTGTTAAGTTCTTTCTAACATTGGTCAGAACTCCACATCCCAAAGCTTCCATTCATAGTTATTAGTTCTGGCCTCTATGACTAATCAGAGTAGATATAAGAATAAATATATTTAATAAGAATAAATATGTTCCTTCATCTATGCAATAAACCTACATATTCTTAAAGACTTCTAGCATGTTCTCCCTACATTTTCTTTTCCACGAGGCAAAACTGATTCTCATATGGCTTGTGAATAGCAAGCCAACTTCAGGCCAATAATTAAGAAAAGAAGGAAGGAAAGAAAGGAAGGAAGGAAAGGAAGGCACTTACTATGTTTTAGGTGTTATGCCAAGTTCTAAAAATAAAAATACAAAAATTGTGACAGACCTTGATATTGAAAAGATCATACTTTAATTGGAGGAGACATCATATAAAAGAAATTTCAACTGCAGAGCTGAAGCAAAAGCCTAGATATATTAAGGGTTTAGTGATAAGGTAAATGTCATGGCCAAAAGGCTCCTAGGTTACATAAGAAAGTCAAATGACAGTACTGAGGTACTACCATAGGGCATAGAGATAAGGCAGATGGCAAAGCCTAAGGGACTTTAAAAGGGACTGGCAGAGCAAATACTGAGACCAGAATCCAAGTCCAGCTGCTGTCACATTCTAATTTTGTGGCCCTCTGCAAGTCACTTAACTTCTAGGTTAGTTATTTAGGCAGTTGGTCTTTGATTAACATTGGTGGTGTAGAGATGGAAGACCTTTTCTCTATGAGAGTTACTCCCCTCAATGATAGCTGTGGGGGACAAACTGGAAGCAAGTGGTTAGGGAACACTACTTTTCTGGGCCTCTTGGGCTAATAATTAGTTAGTGACTCCAGGCAAGTCTCTAAAACTAAGAATTGCATTAAGTGCTGACCTGCATTGGTAAAGGGTGTTTCCTAATCTAGGAGGTCTTTATGCCAATGAAATTCCATTTTTATTTCTACTTTGTTCACTAAAATATTCTGTTATGAATGAACCTTTCTTTCCATTTTTGACCTTTTATGTCTTTAAAAATCAAAAGTTCAGTATCTATACTATTCATATTATTTTGGATATTCATTCTAACATGAAGACTCCCAACCCATCCATGTCTTCTTATACAGTGTGGATCTTTCACATGTATACTTAGAAATCCTCTATAGGAGTTTCACATAATGTGATGGGGCCTATCTTGATATTTGGATACCTGAGGAGTACTAAGCTGTCCAGTTATCCGGCACTCTTTTGTAAATCATTGACTCATATGCTGCTGTTTCTTTGAGTTTATTTTTTTCTTAAATGGGAAAAAAACTCATCTCATCAACTCCCTCCACCCATTTTAATTCCTCCATTTGGTAGCAAATGCTTTTTAAATGAACAATTTTGTGTTGTCATGTTAGTAAAGGAAAACCATATGGGTTTTTTTTCCCCTACAGTTTCTAGGGAGGTGATTGATGGGAGAGCAAATTGTTTTCTGTTAACTTAATACCCATATCTATGCTTTGGGATTTTTGAGGATTGTAAATGATTCTATTGGATGAGAGGTATAGGGTTAGAATGCTCACATGAATGAATGAAAAAGCATTAATTAAGCATTTTATATTTGCAAAGCACTGTGTTACACTCTGGAGATAGACACTGAAAAGCAGAGATAGTCTC